TTTAATTGCTGTCCTTTTTACATCCAGCCTTGCTGTCAAAAGATCTGCCAGTTCTGCACTGAAATTTTGAGTGAAGTCTTGCTGGATAAAGTACATTAAAATCAATGGAAAATCTGGTTTAAAGGCAACAGGTAAAAAGTTTTGAATTGCTCATATTCTTCTAGATTGGAGATCGTGTTTTTTTCTGTCTGGTTCTACCAGAATAATTCTGATACTGTTTTTGCGTTTAATTACTCAAATTAACAAGCATTTTAAAACCAAATAATAGGCAAATGTGAAGAGAGGCAAACTGTAGTATGCCTGAGAAAGAACGATGAAAGAAATGGATGAAGCAATTTCAGAGATGACATGGTCACCAAGAGAAAAATGAAAAGCTTAAAGCTTCCCTCTGTAAATGAAATACTATTTAACCTTATCAACACTTTTAGATGTGGTCAGACCTGTAAAAGGTATTGAAATGGAATGGAAAAAAACAGTGGGAGTTGGAAGCATGTCCAAGAATCATATGCATCCACATGAAAAACACCTGGCTCTGTGACCCCAAGAGGTTGCTGCTTGCGTGATGGGGTTAAAGTCTAATCCAAGCTGAGTCTGTCTCCTGCCCACCTCTCCACACTGTGCTGGATGTTTCCTGTTTTCTGTACTCTGCAGTCTTGCTCAACCATCTCAAAGTCCAGCTTGTTCATCCCTATCTAATCAGAGGTATTGTTTATTAAGTAGTTTGTTTTCCCCACTCGCCTATAGCCTTCACCCCCAATGTGGAGAGCCTGGCTATTAACCCCTCTGAAAAAAATTCCCCTGTATTTTTGGCTCCACAGACATGAACATCATGGGCATATGGGGTTGTTGGGCAAAACAGAATCATGCCCACAGAGTCCACCAAGGGGATTGAACAAGGGAGGGTTTGCTTTGCTCTTTGTTCTGTGCAACTTAAAGCTGGGCTGCAATGAACACCATGACTTGGAATGAAAAATAGGCAAGCACACAACATCACTGTTATCAGAACCCAAATCTTTGTAATAATTTCAATAGTGAGCATAGCAAACCATGATACGACTTTATATCAGGCTGCCTGAGGCAACATTTCAGGGCTGTGCAAACCACCTGTAACAGGACATGAAGGTAAGTGCTGTGATGACACTGGTCTCTGTGCTTTTCTGTTGACTTTTGTTTTTGAAAAAGTAAGTAGGCAAACAACTGGCTTCTGCAGAAGAAGACACTTAACTGTTTATTACCTGTTTCTCTAGTCAGCACATAGTCCCCCCAAAAAAGCACAATCAGGTGCTGCATGTTAATATTAACATACAGTTTGCAAAACACAAACCCCAACAGATGTCTGAAATGGATCAACCTGCTGAAAAGACCATGGTAGATGTGGTTTCTGCACCGCTACAGGAACACTGGATACTGTGACAGAAATTCAAAGAGAAGGTAGGCACAGCTGTCCAGAGGTTTATGTAACAAGGCAATAAAATATAAGTCTTATTCTTCATCATCAACATTTTAAAATCACTGTTGTTATACAGCTGCAAAAGTGGCATTCATAGCTTGCCATGAAGAACAAAGTCGTGGAAAGGGACGTTGATGTTGCTTGGCCTGTAAGTGCATGGATAAAGTGGCTGATGGGGTGGATTCTCCCAGAGGACAGATACTCTGTGGGAATGAAGTTTCTTCAGCACAGAGACACATGTAGTGAGAAAGCACAGACCATAGAGTACCTAATTCTCTCTACATTTTTCGCAGATGTGTTTTACTGAAGATTATTCAGAACCACATGTTGGGCCTGCCATCTGCTGAATTTGGATACGATGTATGCAAAGCTGGTGTGGAAATAACACAAAACAAAACTCTGCCTTTGGGAGGGAAACTGCCAATGCCTTTGTAGCTACAACTGTCTCCCACAGAAAATTACCTTTCTTATTTTGTGAAATATGTACCCTGTCCATACAAATGTAAGCTAAGGTTAAATTCCAGCACTCAGAGCTCGATTTATCTCAAGTCCCTGTTAAAATACCTCAGTACTTGATCGGAGAAGAGCATGAGGACTCTGCTCTAATAAGTCTTGCTTTGAGTGTGGAATTGGACCATGGACCTTCGTAGGTCCTTTTCAACCTGTGTGGCTGTAGAATCAAAATTATTACATCTGTGCAGATGCATGAACATGGAAGTATCTTTCTTTGTCAAATTCGGTAAAGAAAGATGGATCTGCCAGTCAGGAATACAAACAGAAAGAAGAGACAACAGAGTTTTACTAGAAAGGTTGTTTATTTTGTTGAAAGTTTGCTTGTAAATAACTATTTAAAAAAAAAAGAAAAAAATTTAGCCTGCATCCAGACAAATTGGTGTTGAAATACCCTATCTAGTGATTCACAGCTCCTCACCAGTGGAAGGAAGGTTTTTCCCTTCTCTTTTCAAATGCAGTGTCTTCTCACTAAGACATTGATTCCCAATGCAGCTAGAAAATTCTCTTGAGCTTCTAATCTAATAGAGACCTGTAATTTTATGTCCTGTGTTCTGCCAGAATCATGCTTATATTGGACATGTCTTGGAAACAAATGCAGTTTTGGTCTAATTTAATAACTTGTCTTGGACAATAAAGCCTTGAGTCCTGCTGCTGGCCCATCAAGAAAGAATCTTCTTGTGCAAGCAGTAGTTGCTGTGTTCAAAAGCAGTCTCCAAACTATTGGGAATGAACCAACACCCAAGAAAAATGACACTGTTGGTTTAAAAAACAGTCACTAAGTCTGTTTTAAAGTGAATGAAACCAAAATCTTAAGGCCACATTTCAAAGAGCTAATGCTAAGCCTTGAACTTATATAGCCCGTGATACAGCAACTCAGCTCCACTCTCCCCTGGTAGAAAAGAGAGGGAAAAGGCTTTTGTGTGTTTGAAACTGCATTTTTCGCCTGAACTGCAGAACAAAATCCAACAGGAATTAAGAATTCACAGTAACCTCCCATTTTCTGTTCTGAAGGTGATGTACACTTCTCTGACTTGTGGCACAGAAAAGAGGAACAAAAATCATTCTACCTGTGATAGGTCAAAGGCAGCAGGAGCCCCTGCCTGAGATGCCCCACTGGCAGGGTGGCACTGCCCAAGCACCAGTAACTCAGAAACAGCTCCCAGCAGGCTCAGTAAAAACAGTGCCTCTGTTGTGAAGGTGAGTTGTGCACTTAAGAAAATCATTCCAGAAGGACATAAAGAATTTATTAACCTGCTCCTTGTGCAAAGGAGTTTGTTCTCAACTGGTTTATCTGAAACTCTCACACTTGCAAGTTCAAGCCCCAGGCCCTCTGCATATTGTTTGGTCTCCCAGTCAACTTCTCTCATCTCCTGTGACTTGAAAATTGCCTTCTTGTTTAGAAGGGATGCCTCAAATTCATGTTCTCAATTTTCAGCTCTGGGGCTCAGTGAAATTATTGACCTCCCCTGGACTTTTGGGATGACAAAGTACTACCGGACAAACAAGGAAAATAACTTTTGAGACAAATGGATATCAAAATACATATCAAAACATTTAGTAACTGTATATCGTTCATTGGTTTCTTTTCTAAGATATCCTTCTTTCTTTTCTCTCCTCCTTTTTTCATTCCCTGACCCATTTATTGTACATTAATGTGAGATCTTCTTTGCAAGAATGAATATGAATGGGCCCTCATGAAAAAAACAGGGCACTGTCCTGATATATATATAGATAGATATAAAAGAGTGAAGAGAAAAAGAGTGTCAGCAGTGAAACATTCAAAGCTGAAGATGCAGAAACAAGTTACATATGCAGGCACTTAGTGAAATAAATACACGACAACACTCAAATCCTGTCATCCTGACCCCGTGTAAAGCCTGAGAAGAGGTTTGCCCATCTGCCTTGGTATCCTTGGGGTTTTCAGCAGCTGGGAATTTTGCCTGTGCCATTTTTCCAGCGTCCTCTGGCAGGAGAGGTGCTTTGCCTTTGGAATGACATGGAACCCACCAGCAGTTTTTACTTACCTCTGATTTCCAAAACTGTCCTAAAAGTATTCCATCTGATTACTGGGAGAGCAAAGCACTGCTCTGATGCCGTTTCTCTGCTAACCTGCACCATGTGTTTGTGTTGTGTAACTGGTACCCACAGTGTCCTGACAGATGAAGGTTTGATATTTTCTTTGGTTCCATTTCTCAGGAGTTTTAAGTCTTTCACACTTATAACCAGACCTGTTAAGGCATTAATCACCTAGGAGAGACCTGCGGGAAGAAAATTCAAAGCAGAGCTCTTCCATCACCAAAATAAAAAACCCCAAACAACTAAACTGAACAAAAATATTGTCTGTGGTTCACTCTAAAGCTAGGAATGAGGTTTTAAAAACAGTTCAACCAAATTCCACATATAAGTGGAATTTGATTCAAAGCCCACAATAGCCAAGGTGGGCTTTTCATTAGATATACACACTTTTTGCCTGTTTTCGATCTGTATGAGATCTTTTGTCACTTGCATGGTTTTGTATTTAACTGTGCCCACCTCCCTGGTACAAAGTACCTATCCAAATGCCTAACAACCAGGGCACACTAAGTTAATGGGTCACTATTAGAGTGGCCCCTTGATGTGCTGTGCTATTGGTGCCTGTGTTTGTGAAGAGATGATAACAGATAACAGGTGTTTTGCTTCCTGCCAGGAGCAGTGAATGAACCACTCAGACCGAGATGGGAATTACAGCTCCAATATGAACAAGGATCCTGCACAACAGCGGCACCTGATCTAATCTTTCATTTGCCTCTGTGCTGGTAGGAAGGCAAGGTAAATTAATCTTGAATACCTAAGTTCAATCAGTGACTGATAAGACCTCTTTTAATGAGCTAGATTCACTACAACTAGTGGTGATACCAACCAGCACAGGAATCAATCCTGTGATGTGTATTAACATCTGTTGTGTATCAATGAAAATGTGCATTTGTGACCCGTCTGTGCAACACCAATGGATGTGATTCTGTTTTCCTATTCCTACCCTCAGAGTTGACAATTAACAGAGCAGCAGAGGCTTTATTTTTAAGAGCGTCTGGTCTGAGCAAAAAGAATGGGAAGGGTGGAGGCGCAGATAGGATCTGCAGGGGGAAACAGTAACTAATAGAGGCTTCATAAAACTTTAAGTATCCAGACAGAATTTGTGGGGAAGTTCCCGTAAACCACTTCTGCTTTTGAAGGGTCTGCTCAAAACCACAGCTTTGAAACAGACAGAGGTCAGAGATCAGACCTTAGTAAGGATGAGGAAGTAAGGCCCTTCCTTCCTCATTAGCTTAAATTTAAAACATTCACTTTGTCCTACATTTCTGTTGCCCTAAGGCAAATTTTGTAATCAGTGTACAAGAGAGTAGGCAGGATAGCTGTGTGTGTTGGTGTGAGAGCTTTTCTTTAAGAACAGTTAAGGAGAGTAGGCAACCCACACCTTCTGCTGGGATCATCCACTCCCCTCCCAGGTGGTGCATGGTATATACTAAATAGGGTCTATATGTATATAAGTTTATTTTTTCAAGGACCCTTGTGTTTTGTTTTTTTTAAAGAGAGTTATTCTTTGTCCACTTGGAGGCACAGGAAGCCCGGTGCAAGCAGCACAATATCCCAGTTTGCACATTTCCCCTTCTGCCCAGTGGCAAGTTCCCTGGCTTTTGTGTCTGGAAAGGCATGCACAGATCACAGCAGCTTCGGGTTGCTGTTCAGCCGGAGGCTGGAATACATTCCCACATGCCGGACCAGGTTGGGTTCCACCACATAGGCGTTCTCCCCCTTGGCCCACAGCAGGGAGTAGAGGGCAGTGTCCTTAGCAAATCCCTGCCGGCAGTGCAGCCCCTGCAGGTAACCTAAGGCACGCTGGGCAGAGGGAGCCGGGAAGAGCATAGCTGGGGTGCAGCACTCAGTGACTGGCACCACGTTGTAGAGCGCGGGGTGCAGGCGGCGCAGCTCCAGCAGGTAGTGCCGCCCCACCAGCTCCGACAGGGCCATGCTGTACAGAGCAAAGAACAGCATGAGCAGCCAGCTGGGGCTAGGCCGCCTCAGTGCCCATGAGTACACACAGCTCAGCACCGGCCCCAGCAACATGCCCAGGCCCAACCACTCCAGGATCCTCATGGGCTCCGGGTTGAAGTAGCGCTGGAGCCGCTCAGGATGGTACAGCTTGAAGTAGAGAGCATCTCTGAGGTATGGTTTGGAGAACCGGGCCAAGAAGAGGTGCTGCAGGACAGAGAATATCTCCTTCTCTGGCACAGCATCATCTTCCACTACAAGGATGTACTGTGGGTTGTATGATAACAGGGACTGCTCAAGGCAGAAGACATAGTCCTGCTTCTCCTTCTCAAACTGGTTCACTCTGGAGTCAGGGTTCTCTCCAGTTCTGTCACGACTGACCATAGGAAAGAAGCTGCTCAGCAACCTGACATCCTGATGGCTACTGGGGTCTGACTCCACGTTGCAGAGGAGCACACGGTGGCTCCGGCAGCGTGCACCACATTCCTGGAGGAGGCGGTGGAAGCGGGAGGCCACTTGCAGGACATAGTGGAAATCATACCGCCTCTGCACAGTGATTATGGTGATCAGCAGCAAGGGCTGGAAGGCATCACTGCCAGAGGCCTCAGAGGCATTTGGTATCTGCATCTTCTCGAAGTAATGGAGGGCATCCTGTCCCTCCTGTTGGTTGTGCTCCAGGAACTCCTGGCTCATAGGGTTCAGGTGCCAGCGCCGCAAATAGAAATAGGAGTGGAGGAGCCGGTGGCAAATCAAAGGGGCAACCACCCCGAACGTCATCACAGTCAGCATGATAAGATGGACAACAGAGCTGGACCAGCGGCACCACCTCCCACAGAGCTGCCAGGCCTGGTGTAACATAACTGCTGCAGAAGGAGGGCACTCCTGTGCTGTTCGTCCCTCAATCCTTCAGTTCCAGTGCATGCTCCTCCCTGGATAGCAAGGTATCACTGGGGCAGTGGCTGCCAAACCTGCACAAGTTGTCCAAGCCTAGAAAGGAAGAAAAATGATGGTTACCGAAATAGGAACTGACAGAGAAAATGGAAAGCAGGGGGTTAGTCACTGAGTAAGCCAAAATATATGGCCCTTTAGGAGTTCCTTGTGGTGAGGGCATCACAGAACAGTCCTGGAAGGTTTAGGATAGATGAGCCAAACAGTTTCCAGCAAAGTGTCCCTAAGGCCTTTTCATCACATAGGAGCTCTGATCCAACTTAGCTCGATAGGACTTTGTTGTGTTTGTTACTGTGCTTCAAACACATAACAACAGATGTGAATGGAGGATGTGTGGAAATCCTTTCCTGTTAAAGGCAGAGAACTTAGATACCACTTTCTGGACACAGTGACACAGTAAGATTTGTGTTACAGCCAAGAACCACAGCCAAACCCCTTGTGTCTTAGCCTAGCATGTATTTGAGAGACAAACTTTTACCTCTCTGGAATGACAAATGCTTCCCTTCTGTTGCTCACACACTTCCAAGCACCTGCTTTTTCACATTCCTCCCTAGAGTGTGAAGCCAGATAACAAAGATACCAATTTACGTCACCAAGGGCCCATGTACATGCTAAGTGTAATGTGTGTGCCTGTGTGCCTGTCTGTCTCTTTCAGATGTCTCCTCCTTGCTACACCCTGTGAAATACACGGGCACAGCAAGATGTTGCAACTGAGCCATTGACTCACATTTCTTATTTAAAAGTTTGCTATTTAAAAGTATAATCCTCTTATTTAAATATATAAATTTTTTTGTACAGATACACACTTTAAATAAACATCCACCTTTGCAAAAGTTAGAGTTTGCCACATTTGGCTTTTCTGTTCTGCTTCTCTGGCTGCCATGAACACCTCACAGCCTGGCTGTCAGAAGCTTACACAAAATCAGGGTAATTAGGCTGTTCAGATGAATTCTGTTGTGCCACTAATCTCCCTTTTTAATCTGCTGTTTCATTCTCCCTTTAATTTCCTATTCCCTCTCCTTCTGAACTGAGTTATCCATACCCCCCCCACTGAGCTGACTGAGTGCACTGGTCTTCAGTGGAGAGCTTCTCCGACTTTTACCTTCTGCCTTCAGCAAGTTCTGATCATCAAGTGGTGCTCCTAGACCAAAATGCTACTCTTTGTTCTCCTCTGCGCTGTCATCTGAAGGAGCTTAAGCAATGTTGGGTGCGTAGAAAGAAATCGTGGCTTTTCTCTTCTGTCTCAGAAAAATGGATCTTGTACAAGAAATGACTTAGAGGAGACAGATCAGGATCTGACTGGGGGAACTTCAAAACTGCCTTCGTTACTGCAGTGACAGATTTGCTGGTTTTATGATTCAGAGAACCTTTTCCTATTGCCATATGGGAATGTGACAACATTCTATGAAAGGCCTTTTAACAAGATTAATGGAAAATATACAGGAGTTATTCCAAATATTTGATAGAGAATAGGCATCCTTAAATAGACTGTAGTGTCACTGTTGTGCTCTCTTATGATTCAAGAAAAGATTTAGAGTAATTAAATAGGGATAACAAATTTACATGTTGATGCATGAGAATCTGCACCCATATAACTTTTTTTTTTCTTTTTGAAACAATTGTGAAACAATCCTGTTTCACAGACACTGCATTGCATTGTACCAGTGGACCTCGTAAAGGCCTTAAAGGTGATGGCTGCCTTTCAGCTGTGAAATCCAAGTCATGAAGATTCAGGACATGAAGACCTGAAATCTATCAGATGCAAAGACCTGGCATTTAAATCCATTTATTCATCCAAAGTCCTAGGCTTTCCAGCTAACCTGTCACAAGCATTAAGGAAACACACAAATGCAGAATCATATTCAACAACTCACACTGGTGTACTGCGCTACAACTCACACTGGCGTACTGCTAAGTCTCCTCTTGATATGAGCATCACTGTGGGCGCTGTATCTGAAGCAGACTCCAAAAGTGGAAGTGAGGACCACAGTGGGAAAAGGAGATGAAGAAAAGCCACAAGGTAGTTTAGTTTTCGGGAGTAAAGAAGTTTACTTTCCACCTGCCAGCTATGCCGAAGATCTGAGATAAAAAAAACTGTGAGCCAGCAGTGAGCTCTTGGGATATACACTGAATATATGAATATACATTAATAATTCTTTGAGTGTTTTTTAATTAATAATTCTCCGAGCAACCTGGTCTAGTGAGTGGCATCCCTCACTGGAGGACTTAGAACTAGCTGGTCTTTAAGGTTCCTTCTAACCCAAACCACTCAAGGAGGCCTCCTTCCCTCATACCATCTTCTACTAAAGAGGGAAAAAAGGGTGTCCTGTCTTCCCTGGTGGCCAGCAGAACTGGGGGAGCTGCAGCCCCATGAGATGAATCAAACAGATTTTCACCTGAGGTCCTGCTCTTCTGCAGCCCGTGTTGTTTAAGGGTGAGGCTCACCTGAAGGTGACTCCCAGGCCCCCGCAGGGGAACTCACACAGAGTCTGAAGCTCAACAGTCCCTTCTCCACCCACCCTTCCTGTTGGGAAAGTGGTGCTGGGACTCCATCTGCTGGTGTCCCAGCTCCTGGCTCAGGACAGGGTGGGTGAGGTGGTGCAGGGGAGCATCACCCTCTCTGGAGGTATCTCCTGCTTCACACAAGAAAGTAGTTGCCCCTGGAAAAGGGGACTGGAAGCCAGTCACAGTCACAAGCATTTATGATTTAACCCTGGCTTCACCTCATCAGTAACTGAACTCAGGATCTCAGAGCTCTTATCCTGGTTCTGCAACTCAGAGAGCCTCAAGGAAAACAACAATCACACACACACTTCTGGAACTCTTTCAGTCTTCCTCTGCTGCCTGGGCTGTTTGCAGTCACACTGACTGCCACACTCTTAGTGTGTTCGCAGAGGAAAAGGCTGTTTTCCCTGGGCTGTGAAATAACCACAGAGGTTAAAAATTGTCAGAAGCATATTAAATCAGGTGAAATTTTTGCAATTCGTGCAAAAACCAAGCTGAAGTATCTCAAAAAGAGGGAAGACACTGACCTCCTTCCCACGTTCTGTCTGTAAGACTGGGAACCTGAGAATTCCCATACAGATAAAAAATGTCTTACTTCTGCAGAGGTGAAGTTTGATCTTATCTGCAGGATTTGAATCTAGAGTTTCTGTTCAGGCTGTTTTCTATCCTTTAGGACGGTTCTGACTTCACAGAAGCCACTCTGTTTTCAGAAGCTGTTGGTACTGTCATTTTCATCTTCTTCCCTTTCTAGGGGAAAAAAAAAATCTTGTTTTTCTTTAAGGCATTTCAGACAGAAAAAAAATGAAGTTTGAGGGAAAAACCAAGAATCAGAATTAGATTTTATAGTGCTTTAAGAAATCGCACTATATTAAACCTGAGTAGTAACTACTTTGCAAACATATAAATACTTGCAGTGGAGATCAGCTTTATACATGTTCTGTGTAGAACGGAGCCATTGCTTAAACATGTCTAGAAGCTGTGGTGATATAAAGCTACAGAAGTTGCTTGTTCCTTTTCTTAGATCCTCATGATGAAGATTCCTTCCACAAACACCTGATTCCAAATCTATGTTCCTAGCTTCACTAGTCCCTTAAATCCTTGGCTGAATTACACTGCTCAGGAAAAAGTCACCTCTGCACACACGAGGGAGAGTAGAAAAAAGAGTAATATCCTCTTTGGGGTGCAGAACACCGTCTGCTGTGTTTGTGCTTTAAGAGAAAGCTGATTTTTCATCTGGTCCAAACTCCTCTCCACAGAGGTATTCCCACAGGCAGGAAAAAAGTTTCCTACATGTTTCAAAGCATCAAAAATTTTAGGTTCCTGATTAGCTAATGTAAGAGAGGGCATCTGCCTTCTACTCCCTGCTCCATAAGACAAGGACACAACTATTCCTTTACAATTACAATATTAAATGATTCCTTTTCGCCTACCTACACTTCTCAGTGTCAATGGGAAAAGATGTTCCTTTCCTACTATAGAAACAGCTGAATGAAGTTGTGGGGTCAGAAGCCACAGGGTTGTCTCTGTGAGAAACAAAGGCAGGGAAAATATCACAAAGTTTGGCAGTCAGAGTCCCCACCTGAGCCACATCAGTGGCAGCAGTAAAGGTGTTCATACGAGCTGTAGTTTTCACTTGTGTATTGATCCTATAGCAGCATCTCAAGTTGAAACCTTTGTGTGGAAAACACTTCTGTGCCCCAGCCTAAGATCACACGGACCAGCTGCAAGCTCAGGACCAAGATCTCTACTCATTAACCCCCTCCGGCAGAGACAGGGCCTTTGTCTTGCTGTGACAATCTTGCTTGAATCTGAGGAAACTCATGCAGTCTTCACAAAGAGCCACACAGATCTCCTCCTGTTTCCTATATGCATGCTGACAGCTGAATGTGGTGCACAGATATCCTCAAATTCTGAAACCTGAAGTCCCTACCATGAGCTGATCCCTATTACTGGGCCAGATGGCCAGCTTTTCTCATCTGCAATCCCCCTTGTTTTCTGACAGCTTTTAGTAGGTCAGGTGCCAGATAATATTTCTGCAATGTGTCAGGCCTGCCTTGACAACAGCAGTGTCCAGTAGAAGCCAAGCACCTACAGATCTGACCATTACACTCAGATGCCAAACTGGTAGTTGGGCTTCCTAGAAAAAAAAAGGAGCTGTGCTTTAAAAGCATTCAGCAGGACCTTAGTGGTAAGAGATCAGCTGTTGTTTTTTGATTCTATTTTACTGGCTACTGAACTAAGAAACGAGGTATGTGGATGTGGCAGCTGGATGATACTTTCTCCATTTCATTTGAACTGACAGGATAAAACTATGCCACCAGTGAAACAGGCTATGAGCTGGATATATATTAATTACAATTATTTCCCCAATTTCCATCTTGCTTCTCATGTATATTAATTTTCCTCTGCCATATAAACCTTAAGGGAGCCCATTCTCAACAGCTGCTGACTTTTACCTGGCAGCCTGCCTGCAGTACAATGCTCTTCCGTGTTGCTACCAGGCAGTAAAGTAGATCAGATCAAGTGGGAATGGA